AATTATTGACAAATTAATAAAACATATTAAAATATTAAAATTTTGTTCAACAATATTAACCCTTCTCTAAATAGTGTCTATTAARTTTTGTGCTATTTTCTTTCTTTCGCACTTGAGTTCTATTCAACAAAATTGCATTAAAACTGTCCTAAGGCTTTAAAATTCAATTTCCTCTTAATTTTCGCTCACAATTTTCGATTTTCAAACACACACACATACGCACAGAAAGCAAACATTCGTAAGAAAAGTGGTGTCACAAAGTGCCTTCATTTGCTATCAGCAACGCAAGCAACCCGAGCACAGGTCCAATGACGACCGAAAGTCGAAAAGTTTCAAACCCAAAAATGGCAAGTGGAGGCCAACTCGATGCAATTAATAGGCGTAAATGCAAAAACAAACATACGCAACCTTACAGTAGCACACTTTCATGTGAAGGCCTTGCCAACATTGTTAACTAAATGCGCTAAGTATTAGCCAGTTGCAGTCACTGCAAGCAACTAGTTTGTCTATATGTATTTCCATTGCATTTGGCGCATAGAGTGCGGCTGATAACAAAGTGCAAACGAACTCAGTAAAATTACATTTTTGGAATTTCCCAAAAAGAAGAATATATATAAAAATCAATTAAACGTTGCATAGTTTCAGGCGCTCAGCAATATAATTCGTATTATAAGCAATTTATCGCATGGACGTTTGAGATGCTTCTGCAATTTATCGGCTGCTACCATTTATAGTAGCTCAAATGCTGCACAACCACTCACAACGCTTAACGCTCAAAATTATGCCACGCATAAATTTCAACAGGTACAATGCCTACCGTTGCGCCAATAAAAGTTTCATAATTTTAAATGGCAACTCACCTTTGCTGACTGCGTTCGCCCACACCACTGCCGCTTTCACCGCTATTCACGCCAACAGTGCCATTTGTCAGGCACACAGGTGCATAGTCGGCGATTTGATCCTTTTGCAGATCCAGTGTGTCACCTGAGGGCGATGTACGCCACACCATGCCACCGGAGGATGCATCCAACCAATAACCGTTACCGTTGCGCGACAGGCTAGGCATTTTGAGCACATCGGTTGGGTGTGCGCCTAAAAGTAGTTTAAAAAAGAGAGTTGAGATTAATTGCAGGCAATAAAATGTTGAATGGTGATGCTTTAAATGAAATTTTAAAACGTATTTTTAAATTTTTTTTTATTTTGAAAAATATTTTATTTTTAATTTCAGAATATTTTTTGATTCAAAATTTTTTATGTTAATTTAATAGTTTTTTTTATTTAAAAATTTTATTTTGAACTTAAATTTTTTTTTTTGAAATTATACTTTTTTAAATTTATGTTGAATGAATTAATTTTTTTAAATTTAAATTTTTTGGTTTATTTTTAAATAATATTTTTTGTTAATTTTTTTTTATTTTAAAAAATAATGTGTCAGTCGCTTGCTAGTCTCAAGAACTTTATGAGCATACAAAGTGGAGTAAGAGTGAGCTCGGATTATAATACTGAAAGTCTATTGTTTTCTCTCGTTGACTAATAAACACTCACCATAGCAAATTCTCGACAAAATTCTTTAAAGAATCGTTGGAGACTTCTTTCATTTCAGCAAACCCTCTTTAACAAACTTTTTCCTACAGATCTGTTTATATTAATACCAATCTTGATATGTATGTAGCTTCGATAATGCCTTAGAATTAACTTGCTGTTGCCTACATTTAAGGTGTATTTGCTCAGTGACTAAAATTCTATGAATGGTTTTATAGGTAGCCGTTTAATTTTTGTTACCGACCTTTGGGCTGAATTAGCAACAAACGGGCGAATAGATATATGAAAAAATTCTGAAATTTTATGCAAGTCCTTTTCTCACCAAAAATCTGCTCATATGTCGAAACCACTGATATCGGACTCAAGTCCTGTAAGGAAAACTTTTTTATTTGTCAGGATATCTTTTCGCAATATTCTCGAAGAGAACGCCACAATCTCCGAAGAAATGATTATGATCGGTCTACTAAAGCATATAGCTACCGTGCAAATTGGCCAATCAAAACGGTAGCATCGCGTTCTTGTATGAAAACTTTCTTATTGGTGAATGCTACAAAAGCTGCAATGCAATCAAATTTAACGCTCCTTTTTGTTCATCACAAAAAGCAGTACAAGTATTGTTAAGCCAAACAATTTTAATTTTTTTGTCCAAAAATTTAAATATTTTAAATAGCTATATTTTGCCAATGAGTTAAATGCTGCTGACTACGCAATTATTTTTGAACGCATTTGATTTATGCGCATTATAAAATTTTTTTCATTAAACGCTTTACCACACTTGCTTGATAAAGCAAAAAACAAAAAAAAAAAATTTAAAAAAAAAACATGTTTTCAAATAAATAAAAAAATAAATCGCGCTGAAGGCACTTTATACGCGGTTGCATTGTGGGCGTCTGCGGCATTTTGTCATGTGTTAATAAATGACACATGCAACCATCAGTGTCCTGTGTACTGCTCCGCGTGCATAAATATTGTTGCATGCAATGTTCCTTCCCACACACACACACACACACCCACACGCACAAAAGCACGCGCGCATGCTGGAAAGCTTTTAATGCCATTATAGCAGACAAGTGACCAGAATGGCCGGCATAGTTAGTAGCGTTGTATGGCATTTAGCAAAGTGAATGTTGCGAAATGTGAGCGAACACAATGAGAAAGCAAGAAAAAAAAGAAAAACATTCAAAAAAAAAAAAAAATTAAAAAATAGCAAAAAAAAAGCACAAAACAAGAAAAATGGCAGAAAATCACAGTGGCGGCAGCAAGCAAAGCAAACAAAAAATAATGCAACAAAGCAGCGAAAAGGGCGAAAAAATCACAATAAAGTGGAAAATTGGCAACAAACAATGAAAAAATTGCTTGCATTAATGTTGTTGTTGTTGATTTTGCTGTTATTGCAGCAGCGCAWTGAACCAATTAAACTGTCAGTAATACAACAGCGCAATGCGCAGTCAAGTGTTTTATTGGCATTGCGTTTGTATTTTTTGAATTTTATTGCATTATATGTCTTGTTAACTGYTTTTCACATGGCAACATGTGCTTCTGTGTGTGTGTACACATATACAATTAATTTTTTAAACTGCAACTRTTATTATTTTTTATTCYTTATTTTTTTTTTGGCATTGTCACGCCGAGTATTGTTACATTTTGGTTATTACAGATATACTTTTTGTGTGTATTCTACATGTACCGTTAACACAGCAGCAGTTAAGCATGAAATTTCGTGCACACATACAACAACAAACATATGTGCATGCCACCCACCAGTACTTGKCTGACATTCATGCCACTTCATTGGTGAGCAAATGCATGTGTGTGCGCCGCCAAGTGAGTCTGACTGCTTTACATGCACTTGCAAGTGTAAATATACATACGAGTGTGCGTGTGGCTGCTGCCAGCTGACCAAGCACACTTTTTGGGTGGCAGCGCAATGCGCAATTTAAGTACACTTCAGTGAGTGCAGTGGTGAGCGAACGCATATATTTGCAGATACACATCCACACATGCGCTCACATATACACACACATACTCATACATATGTATATAAACTCTCAAGCGGCATGCACCTGCTTGCGTATTTTTAACTGTTGCTGCTGCTCGAAAGCGCTTGCTGGGCAAATTGTTGTTGCTACTGCCTAACAATGCTTTTGCTACTTTAGTTTTTGTTGTTATTGTTATTGTTGGCACTCCATACTCTCAACAGTGCTCAAATATGGTGCGCATTTATTACTTTTGAGTGCTTTAGTTTGGCGTGCAACGCACTTGGACACACAAGTGGCTGCTTTGCGGCAATACACAGTAAATTGTATGTAATTGTAGTTCGCCAACAACTTTAAGTTGTTATTTGTAGTTGCATATTGTTTTTCACCATTTTTTGTTTGTTTGTTACTGTTGTTGTAGTTTTTCGAAATAGTTGCAAATTTGMTTGTTTGTACTTGTGCTACATAAAAATTGTAAGCAAACTGGCGCCTGTTAATATGCTGAAGCTTTAAACATTTTAAACGCCCAAATGTATGCAAAGATTTTCATGTGTTGCGATAATATTGGTTGAAGTGTTGAATTAAGTAATGTTGGCTGGTATATGCAATGAATTACAATTTCTTTGATTTTGTGGCAACCCTGAAGCCTAAATGTAGGTMATAATTTGTACAAAGTATGTTAAAATGCTAACTTATCGATTTGTTGTAAGTAATATTTTAAATAAAATGAAATTAGCACATGTTTAACCACCACTTTATAGCAAATATTAGCATTGTTCATATAGGAAGAGGAATTGAATGAGGAAAATTAACTTACAAACGTAAGATTGCATTGAAAAACACTGAGGCAAATTAGTTTAATTAGATTACTAATTATTTTTAACAGCGGTTGTAGCAAATTTATATTAAAATGATGCAAAAGTATGAGAATCGTAGCTAACTGTAAGCCAAAAGCGTATATAAAGCGTGTAGCGCCTAGATGTGTGCTAAGAAAAATCAAAGTTGGCAAAATTATAGAAAAAAAATAAATTGTAAATGTCTTAAATCTGGAAAATGAGATATATGGACTATATGTATGTGTATTTAAAGTAATTAGTGCCTATATGTATGCTAAAAAAAATTTAAGTTGGCGAAAATATAGGAAAGCCCACACATGGAACAYGTTTTTAATGCTGAAAATTAAATTTTATGGAATGTACGTGTATTTAAGGAACATCGCGCCTACATTTATGCTAAGAAAATTCAAAGTCAGCGAAATTGTAGAAAAGAACAAAATTGAAAGGTGTGTTTAATATTGAAAATAGGTTTTCTGGTCGTTAAWAAACTTTAACCAGCGGAACTCGTTATTATAATACAATTAAAAAAAAAAGTGTGCCTAATTGTAGCTTACAATTGTTGCAAAGTGTGACAATTTTGGAATAAAGAGAACAAATAATCAAAATTAATACATATACTGGCAACGTAAATCTCAATATTAATATTTCCTCAGTGTTTCTAAATTTGAGCACAGTACCTTGAATTGTCTACAAATCTTCCAAAACTTTTCCATTCAAAGTCTCCTAGGTTCACATGCCTCAGTATATGTAAATATAACTATACGCTTGTTCTTGTTTTATATATATGACTATGTCGATATGTTTGCATATAAAAATAGTGTGTATGTGTTGTTGTTGTATTGCATCACGCACGTAACACGCGTGTTAAATGTTTCCGTTGCCGACATTCAGGCGTCGCCGTGAATGCTGCTGCAGCTGACGCCATCCGGCATTGCAATCAGCTGGCAACTGTTCTCAGCATTCACACGCACACACACACACACACACACACACATACTATACTCTTAAGCGTGAGATTCTTTTTTATTCAGTTTTATAGTTTTTTTTTATTTTTTTGTGTGCGTTTTTGTGAAATGTTCTTAAACAATTTACTGACAACTCACCTCTGATTGTATTCAATGCCGATTGTTTCATCATCATGTGCTTGCGTTTAATGAAAACCATTGCSCCGAGTGAGAGCATCATCATGGCCAAAAAGGCGCCGAGCAGAATAATGAACCAAGGTTGTGTGAGCACATCGTCGACATGGTCCTGATTGATGGGGTAGCTGTAAAAGTAGAAGGAAATATTTATAAAAGATATATAAATAATAAGTAAATAAATAAAAAACAAAGAAAATGTTAATGAAAATATTGTCAAATTTTGTGATAAAAATCATCAGAAATCAGTTTTTATTTTTTCAGATTTTTTTCTAATATTTCTTTTTTTAATTTTGTTTTTTGTTCTCTGATATTTGTATATTTTTTTTATAATTTCAATAATTTTTCATTCTCCTTCTGTGCCAAATCTCATATACTCACCGTTGATTAATGAACGGATCCAGCCGTTTGGTTATTGGATCCAAGCGCAGCGTTGCGGGCGCACAATAAGGTCCAATGCCAGCATTATTGCCAGCTGCTACGCTAACTGTATACATCACGCCCTCCGTTAGATTGGCCAACACCAGCGTGGGTGAGGCAGAGTCAATGGTCACATTTGTTAGTATGCGTGAGAAATTGTGCGCCGTATCAATACCACGCACAATCACGTGATAGAATAGTAAGATGCCTGTGAAGAAAAAAATTAAGAGTTTAAAAAAAAATACGTAAGTGTATGAAGAGCTGAGTACTATTTCGCAAAATTTAAGATTAAATAAGTGGTTACTTAGCCCACAGCTATAGCATAAAGTACTTGGCAAATTTTCGAATTTTCTATGCATGGCATATCGGTTTAAATTAAAATGTATACCTTGGTATTCATTTATATATAAATTGCACTAAATTTTCTTATGCTTTTTTCACACATTTTTAACATTCTATGTATTATGGTACTCACCATGTTGTGGCTTCATTGCTGGTGCTCGCCATTTCAAAAATACCGCTGAGGAATTCAATAGCACAGCTTCCATGCCGAATGGTGTCTCGTTGATGACTATAAATATAAAAATAAAATAAAATTTAATTTCATYGTATRTACAAATATAAATAGACGAATGCTATAACCAACTGGAAACTATGTATAATACTTGTAGAGTGGATAAAAACAAACACGTTTATTTTTCTTCCAATAGTACTCTTAATAATAAGTCCTAAGACAACTCTAGTATTAGCTTTTASCCSTAATGSAAAGYTTCTCCACCTTACAGTTTGCCATTTTTTATTTCTTTTATTATCAGACAGAAAAATTGAAAGCTTGCTTCCAACTACTTAAAAACCTATCTGGTCTCAAATATTTCGTAGGTTATTTATTGTTCTACAAAATTGTCCCGTATAAATACTTMTTTTTGTGAGGAGGCATTATTTTATTTAATAAATAAGCAAAAATAATTTTTTTTTACACAATTTAATTATCCGCAATAAACATTCCAAAAAATGTTAAGTTCACTCTAGTATATAAGCGAACTTCAGAAGGACCTTCAAAAAATGATGTCTGGCCGTGAGAAAGATTTGCTCCACTTAAACTGATCTCAAATCCAAAAATAAACAGCACTAATAATATAACAACAGAGGAATAAAAAAAAAATGATTGAAGGTAAAACCATTGGTTAAACAGTTTCAGAATTTTCGTCAGCCACTTTGTGAAAATAAGTGCCATTAGGTTACATTAAGTAAAAGAAGAAGAAGACTTCGAAACTATATTTCGCATTACTTGAGATTTTTTAGGTATATTTCGTAAGTACCTCTATATATAAAAGCTAAAAAAACGTTTTTTTTTTATGTTCACAAATGAATAGAAGAAATATTTCACCTCCAATACAAAAGAAGAAAACAAAAAAAMAAAAAAAATATAAAAAAATCCTTTAAAGGTCACATTGGTTTTCTCCAGTAAAAAACAACCTTTTTTCAACAATTTTTTCTTTGGCAGACATTTTTCCAAAAAAAATTAAAATTTCTCGGTATATTTTTTTCTTCAAATAATCTTAAACGAAAAAAAATCTTTCGTCCAAGTCTTTAAGAATTGTATCTCAAAGACCTGTGTAAAATTTCATAAAATTTCATAAAATTTCATGAAGCTAGGTTGGGTAGTTCTCGAGAAAACTTGCTTAGGGACTTTAAAAACGCAGTTTCGAAAATATGCGATTAAATGCGTCATTTTTAGTCTAGCTAGCCTCGAGCGCCCAACTTGTAAAACCTTAAAAAATATTTCAAATTGCTTCTTAACTCTCCACAGCAAACATTTTTTTTTGCTAGGTGTGGTCTAGAGGCTGTGGTTGACTTCTTGTGGTTGACTACTTAACTCTTAGACCTCAGACTAGCTCAACAAGTCTCGCTCAACAACAGTAGTTGTGCAGTCGCTTAGTTCTTCTGATCCAGGGTAAATTGTAGATATTTTTGGAACTCTTCGCTCTCAGCAAAGTCCACTTTTCAATGGTTGTAGAAAATTCAACTGGACACTGTTCGCTTGGTATTCATACAATATGACTGAATCATATCAACGCAAAAACGCTTTGATATTATACCTTTAGATATCTAACTAAGGAAGTGACAACAGAAATAAAACACCTAAGCAGACTTGTRATAGCTGCAGGTCGCTTTGCCAATACAGAGCTGTTGTCCAACAGAAAATTTTCGTATGGCTTCACAAAGGAATGATCATAAATAACAGTTGAACTGYGGTGCCCTGACTTTCTGAGGGATCAGCAATCTAACCTAACCTAATCTTCTTGTAAGGAACTCATAGAGATTTGAGTCAATTTGGTTTCCTATAAACCAACGCTAAAATGTAGCCCTTGACAATACTAAAATATCCAAAAATACTGCCCTTATTATTGCCCTAAAGTAACCAAAATTTAAATTATTCATTACTATTTATTTAACACGTGATTACATTAAATTCTGTGCAAAGCAATTCCACCGAAATTTGAAGAAAGTGTTTATTGAAATGAAAGTGAGGGTTATCATGCATAGATATGCATATACATATACATATAAATACACATATGCTTTTATGCATATAGAAAGCGCATATATAATATAAAATGCACAAAGCAATTCCTCAGCGTCCGTTAACAAGTGTGAGTAAGTGTCTGAGTGCATAAATCCCAGTTGATTGAGTGTTGGAATTTTGCGGCAACGCTGGCAATTTCTAACTCATTTCGCTAAGCTATTTTCGTCTACGCTCAACTCTTTGTTCCGACTCTTCATGCCAACACTTTTGTTGTTCTAGCTATACTTTTTACTTTTTTGTAATTTTWGCTTTCTGTATGCAACTCACACCGCATTCTGTGGCACACACACATACAGCGCGCTCATTATTATGCATGTATGCATCAAGTGCGAAGCATAGTAAAGAAAAGTTAAGCTGCAACGGTAGCTAAGTAACGCAAAGCAAAGCAATTTCTATTTAGATAAACACACGCCAACTCCACCTGACGCTATCCTCTTCCCCGACTGCGATGAAGAAAGTTAGTTGGTGTGAGGAGTACGGCAAGCCGGCCACCAACACAATCAAACGTTTAGCTAAATGAAGGTGGCAGCGCTGCTGGTGTGTGGGTGCCTGCGCAGTGTGCGTGATGTGAAGGGCGCAGCAAATGTGGCGGTGAAGTGGCGAGGGCGCACAAGSCGACAAATTAGTGTGCCTGCCAGTTGTGTGAGTATATGTATGCGTGTGTTTGTTTGGCAAATACGAGCACATGCGTATGTGTGTGTGCAGCAGCCACCGCCATGTTATGTGTATGCATATGTAAAGTACCGTTTACTTTGCTGGCTTGTGCTTTTCTTTTGCATCATTTTTCAAATTGCATACAAATTGCGGCACGAAACAGCAGTTGACATTTGAGTTGTGTCGCCAACGCACATCCTCACCCACACGCATACACACATGTGCTCACATGCGCTGTCGTCATTGCCGCCGCCTGTATGTGATCTGCATACTCGCGCGCTGCACTTGTGGTAATACCTCAGCAAATACGCTGTTGCAAACAAATAAAAACGCCTTTAAAGCGAAACGCTGGAACTTTTGCGGTTGTTTACTCAACTCGAAACGCGTCCCCACTTCACCACAGTCGCATAATGCGCCGCAGGCACCACAGCGCCACACACACACACACATACACCCAACGTTGCACACGACATTCGTGTCCCAGCGCACACACCTTCTTCCTTTGTTGCTTCTTATTTACATGTCGCTGCTTACTGCGGATTCTAGCATGCTCCACAAGCGCCTGCATGTATGCTATGATAAATCAGTTTCGCTTGGCAAATGCATATGCGTGCGGCTGTGTGTGTGTGTGTGTGTGCAGCTTGTTTATGTATTTGTGTCTGCATATAAAATAATTGTTGTTTATCTTTTTCGCAATTGCAATTGCAATTTCTCCACAATTTCGCTTTTTTCCTAACTCTAATAGCAGTCTAGTTGTGTGGGTGTGTTTGTGTGGGTGTATGCAGCTGCGTACTTCTGTGCGCTGGTTTGAAGTATGTATTTCTGTAGCGCAAGAAAGCAATTCCAAAGTGGAAATGTGATGAATACGGAATGAGTTTGATTTAAAATTTTTGCTGCGCAACAACTTTCTAACGCCACTCTGTAAATAGGTGTGGGTGTATTGTGCCAGAAAATCGGTGTGGTTTTCGAATTGTCGCAAAAATAATAGATGTTCTGTATCTACATAAAATCTTTTATTATGTATGGTATGTATGTATATAAAATATTTATAGATTACTTAGGGTTTCAATTAGCTGCGCTAAGGTAAATTTAAATTAGAATAAAGATAGAGCGAAGGATAAAGTTAAATATTATATAATAAGAAAATAAAATTAGATAAACCGTTTACTTGGCTTACACTGAGTTTAGTAATACTCTTCACATTTCAGCATTTCTTATGGCTAGATGGATGGCTAGATCTTCATATGGATTTTGTTCAGTTAGTTTGTATGTCAGCTATATGCTTTAGTGTTCCGATTTGAACAATTTACTCTCATATTTTAGCATTTTTGTGTGTAAAAATCTGTGTCAAATTTCATGCAGATATCTGGTCAAACAAAAAAGTTTTTCTTACAAGAATTCGATTTGGATCGGTTAGTTTGTATGCCAGCTATATGCTATATTAGTCCGAACTGAAAAATTTTCTGGGAAACTATGACGTTGTTTAAGGCAATATTCTGTACCAAATCTCATGAAGATATTTTATCAAATAAAACAGGTTGCCATACAAGGACTCGATTTTGTTTGATCAATTTGTATGGCAACTATATGCTATAGTGATCCGATCTCGTAAAATTGCTTGGAGATTGTAGCACTATCTGAGGCAATAAGTTATATTAAAGTTCATGCATATGACTGATCAAACAAAAAGTTTTTCATATAAGAACTTGCAATATTTCGTTCACTTTGTATGGCAGCTATATGTTTTAAAGCTCCGATCGTAAATTTTTTTTCAGAGACTATTGTATTTCTTTAGATAGTATTCTGTGTCGAAATTCATTAAGATATGTATCTAGTCAACTAAAAAATTTTTCTATACAAGAACTTGATTTTGATCGTTCAGTTTGTATAGAGCTATGCGCTATAGTGGTCCGTTATGAACGATATAGACAAATAAACAGCTTCTTGGCGAGAAAAGATCAAGTGCCAGATTTCAGAGCGCCAACTCAAAAACTGAACGTTATACCGACAGCCAAACAAAAGCAACTGCTCTCAGAAACACATACACAGTATATACAGGTAGTACACATGCAAGTATAAGTATTACTTTCCATCAATTTTGCCTTGCATTTTCGGCACCTAATTGCATATTTACTTTCGCAAAAAAGTTTGCATACCATCAACTTAAGTAATTTGTGTATTTACACGCTTAACGCATGACTTGTCACAGTGCTCCCATATGCCTCATGCAAGAACGCGCTTGTTCAATTCAATATCAAGCAACGAATATAATACAATATCCCTTGTGTTACTTTCCAATATTACTCAATACAATACGACAGCATGCGCTTTGTGTTTGCGAACACTTTCTTAAACGACCCTTGAAATTGCCGACCCTCTGATTACCCGCAGCGGCAAAAAGCGTATTGTCGGTGGAGGAAGAAAGTACGACAAACACAAAATAAATGAAACCTGGCACATGTGTGCCGCACCGGCCCACCTCTAAGGACGCTACTTAGCATTTAGGGCACAGCTGATGTTGCAACACATCGATTGAAATCAAAAATTTCGCATTTACGTAATGAAATTTGTCGAGTACGCCTCTTTTTTTTTTTATTTTTTATTTTTTTTTTATTTTTTATTTTTTGTCAAGCAGTTTTCAATCATTTATTATTTGTTGCGTTGTTACATTATGAAATTAGGTTATTGTTACGAAAGGGAACAAAGGATTCGCGCTATAGCGTGCAATGACTGTTGAGTATGTATGTGTGTGGGAAGGGTGTTTGCAAAAGTAAGTTGTGGCTAATCAGATTGGCGACTACGCCGTTCAGCAACTATTTCCTGAATGAGTAATTTTTATTTTTTATTTTTTTTTTTTTGTAGAAGGGATGAGGGTTGCAAAACTAATGAGTAGAATAAGTAGAATAGGAAGAATGGCTGGAAATATAATTTTATGAAACATATACTATATGTGTCGGTATTTTCAGCAGTTTTAGCGTAGACTAATGCATTTTGCTGACCCTCCTTACTAACTCTGTGCTTCGGTTTGCGAAATTTTTGCGACATATAAGTAAAAGTATGTGTATATATTGATTGTAAGGGCATTTACATTTTTATGGAGCAACTTGCAGCACATGCGCTTAATGCCATTGCCGCTATTTACATAAATTAAAGATAACTAGTTCACTAGTGTCTTCGATATTTTCTTGCTGGTTACAAAAACCTGGCTGAGAGCCAAATTGGCACAGAAAAACAGCATATGGTAATATCAGTCGATTTCAATACGCCACTTCTCTGCGCGCTTACTTTTCGCCTCACAAAGAAAATTACAAAAAATTAAAAAATGCAAGAAAGGAATTATATTGTTGAATTCAATAGAAAAAAATATGTGTGCAACTCTTTAAAGTGACATAACCGCTGCATATTCAATCCATATTTGATTTTAGCAACTTTTCTGGTTTATACCAGTTTATGACATTTATACCAGTTGTATGTTCGATTCGCTGAAAACTAGTATAAGTATTAAATTAGTGGGAAGTTAGGAAGAAAAAGTGTCTATGCAATATTTTCATTGAAAGTGGTATAAAAATAGAATGAAAATCTGGTTTGAAGATACGAACTAGTATGTCAGCTGGCACAAAATCATATTAAAACCATACATATTTAATCTGTAATATTATACGGCTTTTTGGGGTTTATACCGGTTTATGCAATTTATACGACTTGTACAATTATCCAAAAACTGGTACAACTTTGAATCATGTCAAAAAAGCTAAAATTTGGTCAAATTATTTATAGTATAATATTTTCTTTGAAAATATAAATAAAATATAATAATTTCTTTAAAACCGGTAAACAAATTGAATGGAAATCACATTTATAATCTTCATAGTCAATATTTATTACCAGTAGTATTAACAGCAGTTTTTTTTTTGTTTATACCAGTTTATTCGACTTATACCACTTGTTTGTTCGGTTCACCAAAAACTGGTATAAATACAAAATTTATCAGAAAATATAAAATTGAGAATACACAAGTGTTTATATAACATTTTTTGGAAGCGGCTTAGAAATATTTTCGAGTAACGCAATTTGCTCCTAAAAATGTAAGCAGACGAGTATATATGGCTGACAGGTATACAAAAGTTTTCGTAATGTAATTGTGATCCAGCGCTCAATCGGTGAAATATGCAAATTTAAAACACTTAAATCAACCCCTTCACTACCGTTGCCATGAGCAAATACAACACACCAACGAATGACTCGCTGTCAATACTTTGATGCTTCTATTTTGCCTTATTTCATATACTTTAATTGTTTGCTTATTTATACGTATGTAATAGTATATTTGTTTTTTGAGTACTCACCATCTTCGAGTGTACGTGCAATACGCGAGTTCGACGGCTTTCCCTCAACCGACTTGTAGAAGGGTACAATGAAAAATTCATATAGCGTATATTGCAGCAGGCCAGTCATGGTGCAGGAGGAGGCGCCACCGCCATTCAATATCGTTAGCATGCGATATGTGGTGCTGCTGGTTGCGGTGGCGGCATTTTTAACGGTCGCATCACGTCTGGCAGCGGCAATATTTGGTTTAGCCGAAATCAATGCGGCCGTCGCAGCGTCAGCTGACGCAGAGGCTGAGGACGAGGACGAACTGCCGCTACGAGCTGCCAGCAATGGATTGGCATTCGCGCTGCCGCGCTCCTTACCGGCGGCTGCGGTGCTTGTTGGCGGATTTGGTAATTGACGCGCGTAGATGTAAAAGCCTTCCACGTATTTGCCGTTGATTATCTGCGAAGATGAAAGAAGAAAAAACGACAAGGAGAATTAGGAAAATTGTACAAAATGTGAAGCGGATTTGGGGAAAATTGGGCAATTTGATTGGCGGTGCCACACCGCTTGCCGCGCGCCGGCAGGTGTGAGGTAGCGCTGACTTAGCTGCTTGAGAGCTTTGTCACGCTTCGCTATTGCATTGATATTGACACCGTGCCATTAAGTCGTTCGAAGAATGGARGAGTATAACGAAAAGCAACAGCGAAAATGCGCTAAACTAACCTGCCACGTCAATTTCATGCTTGTCGAGTCTACGATGCTGGCGTTAATTAGTTCCACTACGTCGCCGGACAACAGGCTGGCGCGTGCTTCACTCAAATCCAGGCCGCTATTGAAGAAACGCTGCAAAAGAGAAGCAAAGAAGGCAGGATATTACATAGCCCCTTAAGTACACATTCCAGATAATGCACACTTACCATGCCCACATTAATCGGCTCCGACATCGGACTCGGCAGCGACAGGCCATGTGAATTTTCCGCTCTTATGACAAAGAAGTAGTTAACGCCCGGCACCATGCCCACCTGCATGAAGGTGGTATTCTGTATGCGTGCGCCCACAGCCACCCAACCGTCGGTCTCATTCTTGCCGAACATTTCGACCACATAGCCGACCAAACTGGAGGCGCCCACCTTATTGCTGCGCGTCCACGATAATGTCACCGAATCTTCGGTCTTCTCCACAACTTGCGGTTTACCCGGCGGTCCCGGATGTGTGGAGAGCTCCGGTGCACGATAGAATTTAATATTCGGATTGGTTGGCGTATCCAAACGTAGATAACCGCTCCACGATGACTTGCCATTACGATTGCTCGCCACACACGTRTACAGGCCTTCATCTTCATTACGCAGCAAATCGGCAATGGTGAGTGTGCCCGCTTCGGAGAGATTGCGACGCTCATGCTCGTTCACATCGATTGGCATGCCATCCAAATACCAAGAGACTTGTGGTGTTGGCGTGCCGCTGGTGCGACACGGCAGCGTTACGATCGATTTCACCGGCAACGTTTGATTGACGGGACCCAACTCAATAATTGGCGGTGGCAATTCGAATTGTGTGTCCACCGTGACAACGGTACGACTGCTTACGCTACCAACCGCATTCAAGGCATTACAAACCACCACTTTGCCGGAGTCTTCGCGTGCGAAACGCAATATCGAYAGTACCGAACGACCCTCGGGCGTTAGCGTCACCTCAATGCGTCCATCTTTGTAGCCGGGGAAGAGTAGCGAGCTATTGCCCTCCACCGACCAGTAGAGTGTGGGCTTGGGATAGCCGCTGGCTTGACATTCGAAGAGCACTTCATCACCGACTTCGACGAGTTGATTTTTGGGGCGTGTGATGAACTTGGGTGGTGCTGTTGGCGTTGCGTAGGTGAGTGGGCGAGGGAGAGCAAACGTAATAAAAAGACAAAAATACATAAGTTCGGGGGGTGCAAAAGTAAATAAGTTGTTAATAACGGTAAATGTTATTGCAAAGCAATGAACATATTAAGCGCATATTGTTTTTGCACTTGTTGTTTTATTCCTTTCATGATTTTCGTTGCTACGCTTTGTGTTCTTTCTGTTTTTGAAGTGCGGTCAGGTAATTAATTTGTATGTTGTTGCCGCTGGTGTGGGCGGCTTGCTAAGACACAGGGTTGTTCAGAGATAGCGTGACTGTTGAACTATACATTTTTTTGGTTTTAATCGCTTTGAGGTATCGGGACCATCATCTTTTAAACACATTAATCGTACAGTATATATATATTTATAGATTCTTTTTCAAGCAACTAGGTTAGGTTTGGCTTAGAACGATCCTAACAAAGATCTCTCTTGAATAGCTTGGAACACCGGTGCGATATGATACCTAAAACGCCAATATAATAGATTTTAAGACTCCTCCTAATAGTCAGTTTCAGCTAAGTCTTCTGAAACGCCAACGCCTCAATCTTGCAAAGGCTTACATTGAAAGAGAAAGTATATGGATGGATATAAGGTCGGTTCTTACTCTAATGCTATTTAAGCTTCTTTCACGATCTCTTCAACTGTAGAAGTCCTCGGTTGGTACTTTTCTATTTCGATAAACCTTTATTTTTGGTCTTTTTGAATCTTTCTGAGGAAGTTTGTTACTCTTCTTTAGTAAAATTTCGAAAATTGATTTAATAATTTAAATAATTTAGTTTTGCATCTTCTTGGTTCCATGTTGTTCACTTATATTAAGGAAAGCCACCGACCTAGCTTTATGTCAAGAGTTATCCGTTTATATTTATCCTTCAGGCCCTTGATTTGCCGAACTGTGGAACAAAACTGAGACTCTTTAGACGGTTTCTTAATACATCGACTTTTCGAGCTTTCCGTGGAGCTTTTTCGTAATTGGTTTGTAAACTCAGAAACTCAAGCCTTGTAATATTTTTTTTTGCGATTCTACTTAAAATTCCTCAATCCATCGGTTCTTTCTTTATGTTGTAAAGCTCAACATTTATATGAAGACTAAAAAATTAAGCCTTGCAATAATTTCTGTACTACTTTTGCCACCTAGTGTTGCTTTAGATGGTTAGCATTGATATCCTAACATACAACAAATCTATATTCTACTGTCTCTCCATGTGAAGGAAATTTCCTACTAAGCTTCTTCCTCATTACATATAAATTACTAAAGTTCTTTTTCTCTTTTGCAAATATCTATCTCTCTAAGTTATTTTCCACCAAACAACTAATCGAAACTCTCATTAGTCAATACCAACTCAAGAGATCTTACTAACTTTCAGCACACTAGCTAACACCGCGTAGCTTAAACTTTGGCAAGTGAAAGCTGTGGTCGAACTTTCGGCACCCTTTATGGATACTTTCATCAAAGAAACGCTTGATTCTCATTCACAGCATGCATGGCGCTGCACAAAAACACTTCAAATGAGCCGTAAAACTTTTATACTAACAACAACTACAACACATATGTGTACTTATGAGTGTGCAATAAAGCTTTTAGCACATCCCTGTGCGCTGTCAGGTGTAGTGGTGTGAGTAATTTGCACTTGCACACAACTACACATATGCAACAACAACAATAGCAAGAATATTTATAGCAATTAACTCACCGTGTACGGTTAGTGTGCCCGTGGCTGTAATTGAGCCGACCGCATTATCCGCTTCGCAGCTATACTCKCCCATATCTTCCAGCGTAACGTCATCCAATTTCAGGCTGCGATCCTCGAGGATGTGCACACGACCTGTTGTGAAAATGGAATACAAAAGCAGAAAAAAAGAAATGAGCAAATGTAAAGAAATGAAATGTTTGTTGTTGGTATAAAAAGCGAATTAAAGTTCAAGTGTTGGTCAAACAAACCGGTGATGCTTGAATAGTTCACGTTTAATGTGCGTAGTTAAGTATAATGCTGTGAATGTATATGTGTTTTGTAATTCTACAGCTTTGTACATTGGTTGGCAGGGCGCATTAAAATAGCTCTGTGTGCGTGAATAACAATAAAAGCCTCCGAATAAAGGTGAARAATTGCCGAAAATAGCGCTGAACAGTGCGCAGTGAAAAATCAGCAGCAATTTGGCAGCGAAAAACGGCATAAGAGCGTACACCATTGTCAGCCGTATTGTATGCGAAAGCAGCGTTGATAATTGTTGTTCGCGCTGCCACTGCTTTTGTACGTTTGTCAGTGTCGTTACAGTTATAGTTGTTCTTTTTGTTTTAAGCCAAAGCTGCCGTATYGTTTCTGCAAGATATGCTTGCTTTACTTTCGAGTTGGACTTTAGTGGCTTTGTTGTGCGCTAAATAGGCAGAATCATATACAGTAAAGGTTACGTATACGCACGGGTATACTACTTGTTTCTGCGTAAAGCAAGTTGGACTGATGTATATTTTTATGCAGATAAAGAGTATTTTGTGTATTTTTGTGTTTAGTTGCTTGCAATTTGAAGATTTTGTTTCACAGCGAAAAAACTTCCTAACCTTTTAGTGCGTGACTCTTCGTAAATTTCATGTTTTTGTCCATATTTTGATGTTGTGTGTATATTTAATGCGATTAGTTGCTATTTCAATTTGAATGAAAATTTTTTTTGCCTTACTGTGAGCAGAAAATCCTCATATGATGTATTTCTTAGATTTAAAATAATTTTAAATKACAATTTTAACTCGAAAACTACTTAACGAAAAAATATGAAAATTTCTGCACTCTGCGCGCTCGATTATTTGATAGATATTTTATACAAAATCATAAATAATTTTTAAAACTTTATAGCCAAAGAACTCCAGTACTCTCTTGGTATACTTTTTGGTGTTCCAACAAAGTAAGCAATGACAGGTTTCTTAACACTGTGTGGCTAAATCAAGCTAATCTAGAAAATTCAAAATTCAAAATTTTTGAGATTTAGAGTAAATTTTGTGATCGTAAAAAGATTTTTCAATAGTTAGATTAAAGAAAAAATTATAAAATATTATTAATTTGATTTYTCAATCGATAGAATAATAAAAATTTCGAAAAATTTTCAATCGTTAGACAAAAAAAAAAATCTAATAAAAAATTTCTAAATTGCGTCAGTAGCCAAAATTTCTTACAAAAATCACAATAAACAATTTTTTATGCACACAAACACATTATAAAAAAATTGAACTCATTTTCGAACTCTTGGAAAGAATTGTGAAAATACGACAAATTTTTTACGACTTCAGAGAGTCTAAACCCCTAAAGGATCGCCAATTATATACAAAGGGATTCATTTTATCAGTAAAGTCTCTCACAGCATTACTTTCTTCTGCTTCCCTCCTCAAACCAACCTTTTGCCGCCTAAAACTAAGCCAACTCTCCACTTCAGCTAAGATCTGCCACTTCAGGTCACACCTGTCTACCTAAACACCGTTGTATTACGAAGCACAGGTACATTTTAAGCCCCTACAACCACAGCTGTATCAACACTTTGTATTTCCGGTTAGTTGGCAGCTGTAAGATCCCTGGTTTATTTTGAGGCACGTTGCAGCTGCCTTACATTAGTGTGTATGTATCTAGGTTAGTTAGTAGTTCAAGTGTTGGGAGCGAGAGCGTTGCAGCCGGTCGAGTGTTGGATTTCTTAGCAAGCAGCTGTGACATGCAGCAACCAAACAAGAAGAAGAAATGGGCACAACAATAAGCAGAGTGTGCGCACACTGCGCGGGTGGCAGCATGCAACTGCTGAAGGTGGCCACGTGTGAGGCAGAGCCAAGYTAATATTAAGCATGCATATATATGTTGCATTGCCTGCCAGCTGCATGCTGTTGACGTTATATGCGCACGCAGTGTGGGTGTGTATATATGTATGTGTGTGGGTGTACTCACTGCCAGGATTTGCAATGTTTTTGTTGTCTCTGGCAATTGTTTGCTTAACAAAAGTTTACGGAAGCWTTGGCGTTTACATTTGCTTTTGCTACATCCGCGCCGCACGCTGCAACGCCAGCGCCAATACAGCACAAACAAGCGCAGTGTCGCGTCCGGTTGGCAAAACTTTTTCTTACCTCAACACAAACAAACAAACAAACCGACAGACAGACAAATAGACAGGTATTTGCGCTTGTTTGTGTCTGTATGGGTGAATATATATGTAAATATGTGCGTATATAGTATGCATAGAAATCGCTCTTAAACTACACAACCTCCATCCCCCACCCTCCTTCTTATCAGTCAGCCTTTGCTCGTTAGCGTTTTGTGGCACATACACACACACACACTTACTCACATTTGCAAAGGCACTCAGCCGTCACTTTCTTATTTGTTTGCATAGGTTAGTGGCTAAGCGTATGTGCGGCGGTGTTTTTGTTGTACCACACTGTCCTGTTTGCGCGCATCCTTTGGCTTGCCACATGCCACCGCAGCACCCCTCCGCTTTCGATTTTAACCCCAACGCCAACTCAGCTAAACCTCACCTGCGCTCCAAATACCTTTCCACGTGTGCGCTGGTGTGTGTGCGTGCTGCTGATTTTCCACGATTCAAGTGTTGTGCAAGCAAAACCCAACAGCACAAATGTTGATTGCCGGCAACAGAGATTGGCAATTAACGGAATTAAAAGTTGCAGTTTGTTTTGCGGTACGTGCAACAGCGGCAGTTCGAGCTACACCAACAACAACTACATCAAGTAAGTGCTAGACTTTTACTTCWTTGGTGGACAGCAGACACGACATAACGGCGCACAACGAAACAGTCAACAACAAAATGACTTTGCTGCCACCGCAAATAAATGTAGTACTTTTTCATCAGCACTCGGCTCATCAGTTGTCTGCATCACTACATATGCACATACACACACTCACACATAGACGAGAAGACGTTGACCAAGTGCACTTGTACGGAGTTTACCTTTGCGGTTGTGGGTGTTGGACAGCCACTGCCTGCTGCTGCTCTAAGATGGCACTCAAGAAGTCAAACACGTATGTACGGTTAATTAGAGAGCAATATATGAGCTCATATGCATTTACCGTTATATATATATATAAATTTTTTTATATATACTTAGTATGTGTGATCATTTTTTGATAGAGCACCAGTTTATTGACTCTTTGGCAAGTTTGCTCAAAGTCATTCTGAACAAGTAGGAAATTTTTCTTTAATCAGAGAAGCCGAGCATTTCAAAGYTTCTTTTAAGAGGTTAAAACTAGTTGTTGATCAGAAAAAACACGTTTTTTATGAGTTTTTTGGTAAGGCACATGCATTAGAGCGGGTCGATTTACAGCGAGCCGGAAAAATTAAAAAAAAAAAAAAAACACAAAAGTGAAAAGCTTTTCTAAAAAAGCTTCTTTAGAGCTTTTTTAAAAAAGGTATAAAAAGATTCATAATTTCTTCATTTAACAAAAAAGCCCTATTTGTGTAGTTGAAGTGGACTGGAGGGGCTATGCTTTCACTCAGTCTATCTAGATTTTATATGAATTGGTAACTGCCTCACCTATGATTACAATATCGAAAGACACGGCTATTATAGGATATTATTCTAGATATAGAAAAAAATTTATATATTCTGAGCTTCCACTATTTACTTGTAGACGTAAAGAAAACTGTCAATGTCAATAAAATATGGGAATATATTATAAATACTTTTTAGTTTCTAGATCGGTTCCACTATTGATATTTGCTTGCCCCCATTTATCACTATATCTAATTATGAGACTCTTTACTTGAGCTTTCTTTGAACTAACAGTGGATATTTAGTCCATAGGTGTCGCTAATGTATGGAATTATTTACTAGTCTATAAATTATACCAAATAGGGCATGTTTTGCTCGCCATTTTTCGGTTCTCCTCATAGAAAGCAATAACGAATGCTAAACTGGTATAAACGCTTTCACTTAAATCTCTCTTTTTTATGTCAGTCTGAGTGATTTATATCCGTTGTATTTTACATTGTGTGAAGGACTTATACCAACTTGTTGATTTATACCAGTGACTTCTTCGATTGCATAATGATTTATGTCAACTGTTTGATTTTTACTAGTTGATTGCTTGATAGTATTATTGATAGTAGTAGTTTAATTTATAAAAATTACTTGTTCGATTGCATAATTTATTTATACCAGTTGCTATTTTTATTGTATTATTAACTTCCACCAGTTGTTTTTTTATACGAGTTACTTGATCGATTGTATAATCGATTGATAACAACTCTTTGATTAATACGTTGTTTGATTGTGTTATTGATTTACGGCATTTTTGGTTCTATACCAGATTTTTATTTATACCAGTTATTTTCTCGATTGCATAATTGATTTATACCAACTGTTTGATTTATGGCAGTTGCTTGTTCGATTGTATTATTGATTTATACCAGTTGCTATTTTGATTGTATTATTAGATACGGACCATTTGCACCACTTATTTGCTTTATACCAGTTACTTTTTTAGTCGATTTACTAGTTTCGATGCTGCCAAAAGGTAAATAGAAGTCTTTAACTCCACCAAGTTAAGGTGCTGCAATACTAACTGCAGTCGCAACAACAGTTCTATTTAATATTCCCCCTTTAAACCGTTGCAATAGTGACAAGTTCGCGCATTAAATCAATTGCAATGCAGTGGCTGACCACAAAGCTTGCAACCAAAGTGCGGTGTGATACTACTATGTATGTATGGGTGTGTCAAAGCATATTTAAATAAGGTGTTAAGCGATGTACATATACCAATAGACACATTTATGTATTTATGGTAGTATAACTACACCGCAAAGACAAAGGTCTATGCAGATAAGCACTTACGTAATGGCATATTTCCGCCCGAAGCGGTGCGTCGCCACAGGACATCCGGTAATGGATCACCACCAATGCGACACTGAAAGATAACCGAGCTGCCAACCACGGCGGTTTGATTTTGCGGTCCGCGTATGAGGAATGGACGCACTGCAAGTAAACGTGAAGAAAGAGACAAAATGAGGAAATGCGTACAAAGCGTTGAGTTATAAAAAAATAAAATTTGAAATATATTATCGTATTTCGACTTTCGCAATTATTAATTTCAACGCCATTTTGACTTACCATGCACTTTTAGAAACGCCGTTGCGGATTCACGTGTCCCCACCACATTTTTCACCACGCACTGATAACGCCCATCGTCCGACTGACGCGCATCCTGTATGGCCAAATTACCGCCGTCGACTATGCGTATGCGTTTGTTGCTGCTTAAATTCATTGTTTGTCCGTTTTTACGCCAAGAAATTTGCGGTTCTGGTGAGCCGCGCGGCGCACCGCACTCCATCAGCGCCACTTCGCCTTGCGCGACGCGTGTATTTTGCGGTTCGAGGCGAAATTCATCGCGTAGAACTGWGGAGGAGAGCGAGTTGAAAGAGGGTTTTAAGGAAATTTATAGATCGGAGTGCGTCGAATGAAGATAAACATTTTAAATAGTATATAATTATAAATATTTTAGAACTCAGTTGAGAAGCCGAGTCGGTTCTGTTGCATGCCTGTGTATCTGCCTGAAATTTCACACATATTATTTCCTTTTTATAAAGCTGCTAATTTGTTGGAACCGYYTAAATCGGACTACTGTAGCAGATAGCTGTCATATGAACTGTTTGATCGGAGTCAATTGCTTGTATGAAAAACTTTTTCACTCGACGAGATATCTTCAGGAAAATTTAGATAGATTATTATCTGAGGCATTATTGTCTGGTGTCATCTTCGAAGAAATTGTTCAATTCGGATTACTATAGCATATAGCTGCTATACAAACAGAATGTTCAAAATTAGGTCCTTGTGTGGAAAACTTTTTTATTTGACAAGATATCTTCAAGATATTTTGTAAGAATTATTCTGTAAGGAAACGGTGTAAACTCCGCAGAAATTATTGATATCGGACCAYTATAGCATATAGCTGTCATACAAAATGACTGATRAAAATGRAGTTCTTGCATGAAAAACTTTTTTATTTGACAAGATATCTCCATAAAATTTGGCAAGCATTACTTTYTAGACTAACGGTACCATCTCCGAAGATATCGTTTCGATCGGACCACTATAACATATAGCTGTCATACAAACTAACCGATCAAAATTTATTTTCATACCCTTTTGTGGTCTAAGAAATGTACCAGCTAACGGTTATATAGTATCCTTGTTCCAAAATTAATATTTATTCTAGTTATATACGAACTTCCATATAATTTTTAAAATACTTTTCTAATTTATTTCACTCAATTTCCTTAACTTAATTAATTATTCAGTTTTCCTCGCCTAACTGCATAAAATTACCATCCATCCACAAATATCATCTTGCATTACAATTATAATTACAGTCAAAGATCCAGCTATTCTTCGTCGTAGCCTTGTTTCTTCCTACAACCGTTACTACTCCACCGCCGCTTTTATACTTTCTAATGAAGCACGCCATGCAAATAATATGCTTAACTTTGCAAAGCTTTATGCATCTACAAACCTCTCACAGACATTTCTGTCAGCAGTCTACCTGCGATTTATTTATTTATTATTGCATAGCAGCACAAAAACAACAATATTAATGCAAAASGCTCTCCAACTGCGAATATCCTTTGCGAAAGCCGGCTTTATTGCCGCTATTTGCCATTTSAACATTTGCATTGCCAAGTAAACCATCCATTGAATGAAACTCATTATTATTAGTTGGCAATAACTGGCAAAGAGAGTTGAAAGATGTACATAACGAGAGAAAGGATATTGTAGATATTGAAAATATCAATCAATTTATATTTCTTTGAAACTGTTAGGAAGGATATTGAATTGTAAATGCACTTGCCTGGCAGCGGTTGATAGCAGTCAGAGGAGAGGAGTAGTCTACTTTTGTATTAGTATATACATAATGATTAGATTATTCGTATTTGCATTGGAAAGGGCTTAAAATCTTAGCAGTAAGCATACTATTTCTTKCCAAATGAAATGTAAAAAATTATATGCTTAACTAATTATATTCTTAACTAATTCAAACACTTAATATAACTGATTAGCTCAACAGTTTTTTACGTCAATTAATTATAAGTATTTATCCAATCGATCAACAATCAACTTTTATCATTTTTTACTGTTCGCAGCTGCTTGTCGATATGCACTTATGCGAATTGGCTTTTGTCGTTGCATTTGAATATTTTATGCAGTTAATAAATTACTGCAAGCACCTATTAATCTGTGATGCTTTATACTAACACTATAACACATAAGCGCTGAGCAAACTATTTTTCTTTTTTGTACACCTTATTTATTAGCTCTTATTCGTTTAATATTGCTRATTTCACTTACATGCAACTTGTAGCGTGGCATTGCGCGAACGTGCCACACCGAACTCATTTTTTGCCACACACCAATACGTGCCCGCGTCACTTTCACGACGTGAATGTATCACCTGCAAGTAGAAAAATAGAAAATGTAGGTATATATCACATCAAATATGGAAACTTCAATAACGGTAATTGAGAGTTGATGTTTTTTTTTCTGTCATTTAACTTAAGTATTTTAAGTAGTTTTTGATTTTTTAATTATAAATTAGACTATTTCTGCTRGAAACTATATAACTAGTTCTTCCAACTATAGAGGTCTCTTTACAATTAGCTGAATAATCATTTTTGTTAAAGGTTAGATGAAAGCTGTACCATCAACAGCTTTCATAGTACAAAAAACAAGCCTAAAGCCACATTTTTAAGTGTTAGCTGCATTAAAAGTTCTTAAATCACAGAAAAAACTTTTTTAACGAAAGCTTTGACCTTCTAGAGCTTTCACAAGATGACTTTCATTGCATTAAAATGATGGCGAGTGTTAGTTTTGTCGTTAGTACAGTTCTTCTGTTATAAAAGAGATGAATTGTTTATAAAAGGAAGCTCCGAGCTGAAGTTAGTTGAAAGCTTTACAAGAACAAGCATATGAAACTTTTAAGTTTTTGATTCTTTAAACGTTCTTAAGTCACACAAAACACTTATTTGGTGAAAGCTTTGACTTTTGGAGTTTTCAAAATATATTTTGTATTACAGTAGGTAAGCCTTCAGTGATTCAGATGGATGAACCAAATGTTCAAGTTATAAATTCCTTAAATGTTCTTGGACCACACAAAAAAAAATAAATATTTTATGACAGATTTTAACTTTGGAGCTTTCACAATACGTTTTTAGAAGAAATAATTTGTTTAGTAGGTAAATATTCAAGCTAAGATGGGGTTGTTTAAAAGCTTTGTAGTAAAAATGTTCTCAGCTCACGGAAAAWTTTTTTTTTATGAAAGTTTTTAACTTTAAAATTAACTTTAAAAGTTTCATAAGATGTTTCGTTTCGTAGTAAGCGGGTCGTTAATGAACCAAAATTAATTTAATTTAAACAGTTCTTTAGCTGTTATAAAACAAAAACTTTTTTAGTGCGGAAAACTCAGGTGAAAGCTCCTAGGAAAACAAATTACAGGACAAGAAAGTTTTAATTTGAGATTTAGTAAAAGTATTTATTTAATTTAATTCCTTTAGATTTTATAGAAAAATAATTTCTTTGTCAATGAAAGCTYCAAGCATAAAATACGACAGAATAGGAAATTTTTCATTTGGCATATATTATGAAATTTGATTAGGGAGTAGTAAAGCTTTCTTTTTTAATATAGACACTTTACATAAATTAAAATGAAAGCTCTCAACAAGTTGTAAAAGCTTTGCAAAATCTTTTCGTTAACAAATTCTTAACGAAATATACCTTTTTTTAATCTTGTACAACTTTATCGTTATTCCCTTCGTACACGATATATTTCGTAGAAGCTTTCTTCTTTACAGTTTATATTTATTATATCATTAATATAGTTAAAAGAAGATAATCGATTTTTATAATATAAATATATATATTTTAAATAAATAATGGAACTATTTTGCTGCTTTTAAAGAATTATAAATTCCGCCAATTTACTTACAATAGATCAAGCGTTACTGATACTTTAAGTTCCCACAAGGCTTCAAATTTTGCAGCTTTTATGAAATTGCTTTCAACAGATAACATAAACTAATTACACTTAGAAATTAGCTTTAAAARTTGCAAATTTTCATRCAAAATTCTTATTTWTATTTTAAATTTGGATTAAGATCTCTTTTCACCATCAAAAACACGTCAACTTTTGTCCACGTCCTCTAATGTATTAGATTGAGCATTCTTCATTTTGTTGTATCCCCAAATTGAAGGCAGCACGTGCGCGTCAAAAATGTTGCAACTTACCAAACATCAAAGTGAAAATTTCAAATATTGTAAAATCTCTGTCTGCCGTTCAAAATCTCACAGCCGCTGAGAGGACAACTGCTGCAAGGACAATAGGCAAAAAGCAGCGCCAAGCACCAAACAACAAATAGTACAAGAACAACTCTGTATAAACATTTGTTATTTAGTAGAGGAAACAACCCTCGGCCGGTCAACCGACTGGCAACAACACATACTCTCACATCAAGACACATTGTCCGACTTCATTTAATTTAATTAAAAATGTTACGCAAGTGCGTTATCTCGAGCATCTAGTGTTGGATGCTTACTGCCGTTTTTACTCTTATTCATTTTGTTGTTTTTGTGCCGCTTTGCGGGGTTAAAAGYGGCTTCAAAGCAAAGAAAGAGATACTTTTGTGTTGCAGCAAAGCCAAAAGAAAGCCAACAAAAATTCGTTGTTGCTCTTCACTCGAGTTAATTGACAACGTTGTCCTGCCCCACCGCCTCCTGCGCTTCACACATTAGAAATCCACACGTTTGTAGTGGGAAGGCAACAAAGTATGAAAGCGCTTGTACAAATGCGAAAGTTACAAAGTCAACATTTTGCAAGTTGAATGAGTTTTAATRTGTTCGACCCGCACACCAACACACATACATACATTTATGTGAATGTATGCTTGCAACACACTACAATTTGTATCAAAATGTTAGAAGCACTGAAAAATTTGCGCCAGTTAATGGGTGTCAACTCGTACCCCTCATTTGTTGGTCGAACGACAAGTGTCCTTACAAATGTATATATATATATGTGTGTGTGTGTGCGTGTGTCTCTTCAAGCGCTATTGAGTGCGCTGATTGAAGCCCCTCGTAGCCTTTTGATGAATGCTCAGAGCGATTAACTTGTATTTTATAAATTTTTTTTTTTTGCAGAATTCAAGGGCATTAAAGAGGTCCTCCGGTTGCTAAATGTTACAGGATGCGCCTTTGTGCTGCCTTTTAGCGCTTTTTTCCGACTCTTAAGCTGATATGTTTATACTTTTGAAATAATTGTTCCAAATGAATTGAAATCGTTCAGTCAAATGGAAAATATTTTATGCATTATTATTAAAAATTGCATTTATCTTTGATGTGAGCAGGTTAATTTGAAACAAATTAAATTTTTCTGATTTTTATTATATGTATATACTATATGTATATAAATATAAAATTTCCTTACCATTATATCACAAAAAAAAAGCTAATTGGACTAAAAGCGGTTTAGATATACTTCAGTATGACGCATAGAGCTAGTATAATGCTTCTTACGGGCCTTCATGCCATACAGTTGGCTGAAGCTTTCATTATTATGTTTGAGCTTTCACATAAAGCTTTAAGCTCACAATTTTCAAATTTTTTTTGCAAAGGTAGAAGTAATTAATTAAAATATGAAATCCAAAATACCAAATCTGTCAGAGTTAAGCTAACTCAAAACTTTCATTTTTTTTTTTTGAGCTTTTATATTAAACTCGGTTTTAAATTTTTAAATTTCTTTAACAAAAGTGATAGCAATAAATTAAAATATGAAACCCTAGGCTTTCATTGTTCTTCTCTTAAAGCCAACTTTCAGCTTTCATCATTACATTTGAGCTTTTATAATTATTAAATTTTAAGCTTGTGATTTTAAAATTTCTTTAAGAAAAGTGGAAGAAATAGTTAAAAATATGGCAAACAACGGGTTCAGAATAGCAATTTTAAAACTGACAGCAATTTTGAAACCACATCCATCGAATCCAAAGCTTTTAAGGAATGTTTCAAAGATAAAAAAAAAAAAATCACCTAAAATCCCATGTCCGAATGGTGAAAGCTCACACTCTAAATACAGCTTTTACTCCATTAAAGCTTTCACTAAAAGGAGTGAATATTCTTTAAATAATTTTTTTTTCAAACCTTCTTTATTTTATACATATTTCAAAAAACAAATATTTATCCTAAAAAATGCGCCTTATGTCAATCTTCCCAAACGTTCAGTCATGTGTGAAACCACTTAAATCAATAATCAATCGAAACTGATTTACATACATGCAAATTTTCTTGAAAATATTTATGCACGAGCAAAAATATTGCATAAATAATCTTAATATCAAAGCAAGCATACTTTATATAGTGTAAAAGGTATGGGGAGATAGATGTGCGCCTAAATGCATGCTATGAAATGATCAGCTACTGAAAATATTAACGCATGACATTTATGCGAAAACAAAATACTGTTTGACAATGTGACTTTAGCTAATTATTTATGCATAAACGTTTGAGAATAAATAAACAAATGAGCAGGCTTGCCTTCTAAACAAATAGAAATAACCCTCGCTCATTTCACTTTATGCACTCTTACCATAGAAGACAATGCTGCCTTCTTGTATCATTTTCTTATACATATCTATACGCTACTGCCTTTATATTGCTGAATATGTATAGGTAGAATTTTATAATCTTACTTACCTTCAAAAAGAACAAACCGCCAGCTGGTAACATAAGCCGATGTGAGCCCGTATCCGTTTTCAATTCATGCCCATCCTTAAACCATTGTATTGATGGTGTTGGATCACCTTCTGCTTTGCAATTAAATGTGAAGGGATCATTTTTTGGCACTGTCATATCCATAGGGTGTTCGATAATGCGTGGATTATCGCCTGAAAGGAAACAAGAAAAGAGGAAGAGAGTATAAGCTAAGGAGAAATTTGATATTAAAATATTTTAAAACAATACGATTGAGCTCATAAAATAAAGAAAAAATTGTAATAAAAAATTCACAAGAAATAATTTTTGTTTAGAAAATAGTTCAGAATAAGAAAGTAATAAAAAATCTTTAGGCCTTTTTATACGTTAACACAATTTTAATATCTTACAAGGCTCAAGCATTTACTCAGACCATTCTCGCTATTGCAAACGTGCGGCCAACTGCCTCACTAAAAGCATACTGACAATTTATTAACAACAGAAATTGAAAAATAAAAAAAAAATAAAACATCTTAAAAATGTCAAATATTATCGTAAATTATGCTGTAGCTGCTTGACCCTACTCACACTTATATCGATGCACATCCTCGAATAAATATATATATACTCATCTTGACTTATGCCGCTTGTGTTTTCGCATAAATCTSTCTAAGAAATGTAAATGTGCCTAACACATCCCAGCGCATAATTAAATTTCAAGCAACAACAAATCTCATTATGGGAGGCTATCGACTATCCAGCTTTGCTTCTTAACAGGCATGCGATTTCTCAATCTTGCTAAACAACCCTCCTCGGGCGTGCACATTCTGCCCGCAAGGCAAGGGCAGCTATGCTCACAGAAATTGCATTCCAAAGTCATCGGCTGCCTTTCAAGCGGCTATAATGCCAYTGTAAATTTTGTAAATAAGAATGCGTCAACATTTTCTGTTAAGCGGTGTCCCGTAGTTTTATTTTAATATTTGCATTTAAATTTAGAGTGTCCTTTRAAGGATATTCTGTCTTATTGTGAACATTAATTACGCGTGTGATGCTCTGATACCAACAGGGTTGATTTTCATGGAGAATTAATTGATTTGTGTGCTCATAAATCGTCTGGCKATGAGACAATTTAATGAGACATAAAAATGGAAATGGATTGGGTTGCTTCATATTCAAAAAGTATTTCTGAAAGAACAAAATAAGAAGAATTTCTTCTGAGAGAAAAAAGTATTTSACTTTCCTCAATAGAATATACTCGTATGAGCCAATTCTAGCAAAAGCATCGAAATTGTTCCATCAAAGTCGCTTAAATATCCACGCAAATTACTTTCACACTTCCACTAAATAAAGCTTTTACGAATTGCAATTCCACTTTACGAGCAAATAATTCTAACATGCAGACCCGGCAGCGGCATAAATTACACAAACCAATAATCCGAATCCCAATTAGCGTACACACAATAACTAATTGAAAACGATGGGTAATTTAAATTTCAATGCACATTAACATTTATTACGCATTTAAGCGGCCAAAGACACAGCATGACCACAATGCTCCGCCAATATGTAGATGGAAATGTAGGTGAGCGYCGAATAAGGACACTTAGATCACTTTAGTAGGATGATAATCCTTAAATRTTTAACAACACAGCAACAAAGCGAAGACAAAAAGTAAGCAAGCATAAACATAAATAAGGACTCAATTATCGAAAGCTACCAGCGCGCAAGCGGCAGAGCCACAGTCGACGAACGAAAGACGGCCAATCTTACTTAGTTAAGCGGCTAGGAGGTGAGTAGGCAGAGCTGCTCATAAATAAAACGCTGCCAGCACGACAGGATGTTAGAGGACATAATTCACTTAGAAAACAATTGAATTAACATCAAATGTGAGCAAATGTGATGCAATAAAGCAGCGAGAGAATGAGAGGGCACACAGAGCGAGCAGGCCACAAAAATTATTACACAATGCATAAATTTTAATGAGAAACAAACAGATATAAATCGAAACAGAGTAAAGCAACGGTTTCAAAGACATAAATACACAGAAATGAAGGAGATTGTATAGAAAAGAGACTGGTAAGCGGTTGGACCCAAGAGTTACTTGCCAAAGGTGATTTAGGATTGTGTATGGGGTGGATCATAAAGTGTGATGTGCTCAATTTCATTTATGGTGAGAGTAAGTGTGCTTTGGCCACAGCAAACTTAGCAGAAAATTAGTCTTATGTGATTTTTAAGTTTCGCCAGAGAATGACATTTTGAAGAGTGGGTAATATTGAACTTAGTTTTTTGTGAAAATATTGTTCGCAATGCCATTTCCGAAAAACCTTAGTTTTTTATGAAAATATTGTTCGAAATGTCATTTCCAAAAAAAACCTTAGTTTTTTATGAAAATATTGTTCGAAATGTCATTTCCGAAAATAATGAGTGCTACAGATTCATTGTAAGCGAGTTTTGATGTCGGAACTTGAAGATATTATATGAKAAATAGTTTCAGGATGTTTTGAACCCATTCGAGTTAAATCTCTTACCTGCCACGTTTTTTATTACATCCGGCCAGGGACTGTCAACTCGGCACGATGCTTCGAAACTACTTCCTAAATCTTTTCTGCCGCTACAACAAAAACAATAATAACCCAAACAGAGGAATACATTTCCAATTATCATGAAAAAAATATAACATTTTCGTTCCTCAAAAAAATATAACATTTTCGTTTCTTAATCCATAAAAAGCAGTTTCCCCATATGAACCACCCTGTACTCGTACGCACAGCACAGAATGTTTTAAAAAACGGAATGCAAAGTAATTRCACAAAGGCTAGAGGTATATGAAAAGTAAAAAATATTTGGCAAAAAAAGCAAAACAACAATAATATGGAACCAAAGGCAATAGGATCGGAAAGCAGTGAGATTTAAGGAAAACCAAACGAGTTAAGGAGAAGATTTATACCAAAGTCTAAGCAACACAGGGCGTAGTAAGTTAATAGTAGTATTTTACTTCCAAAGCAAAAGGCTACGCTTGCTCTAAAGTGGCTATGAATGCTCTCTCTTTTTTGCCAACTGGCAAGTAGAGCGGATTAAGGTGTTAATACTGCTTTTGTTTTATTGTTGTTGCYRTTATTATTGTCATTGTTTCTACTTTTGTGCATTTCTTACTTTGTCTGTTGCTGTTGCGACCTTTTGGCATAGCTAGCTCAAGATAGATGCCTAGTGGTTTAGAGCATTTTAGCCGGAAATTAAATTCTGTAGATTTATTGAAAGCGGATAACACTGAGAACGCTCAGTGTGAGAGCACAACGACTATATTACGGCTAGTTAGTAGACAGTGATGTGTAGAAATTGAATGCAGGCAAGCGTGGAACAAGTTAAATTAACAGTTTACGGAATAGTAGTGATGCTGGTGGTTAGAAGAGAAAGTAGTAAACAAAAAGGTACGATTAGCAAGAAACTGGTTTTAGTTTTAATTCCGAAACAGCTTAGTTGTGGGGAATAGTATTTCTGATGGGTGGAATGTATTTGATTTTGGTTAAAAAAATTTTGAATTTTTATGAAGATCTTAGTATAAGTGTCGAAATATTTCTCTTCTGCTTAAAAATCCCGATTTTGTGGTATTTTGAACTAAATACTCGTCAGAAAATAAATGCTTGATATTTACAGATGGCGCTGCTATTAAAATATGCAAGTCTCTAACATATACTATGTGAACATATTCTCACCTAATATGCCAAATATCGTAGCATCTTTTTTCATAAGTTTACAGGCGAAGGAAAACAAAGTAAAAATACTCATATTGAAAAAAAAATGTGAGTTTGGTTACTAAAAGGATATTTATCGGTTATATATTGGTTATATATTAGTTATATATTGGTTATATATTGGTTATATATTAGTTATATATTGGTTATATATTAGTTATATATTGGTTATATATTAGTTATATATTGGTTCTCACAGTTCTCTTTTCCTTTTTCGCTTTCTACGTGGCCTGCTTTTGCGCTTCACTCCATTCGCAGCCTTAGCTCAACTGTCGAAGCTTGCAAGTTGCTAAAATTTAATTTAACCTTTCCCAGCTGCAACAATTTAAGTAGTATTTAAGTTTCTACTACTTTTAAACATTCTTTCTTAAACCCTTTTCATTACAAAAACAACTTTCCTAAAACAGAATCGCCTTTTCCCGAATACCAAAGCACTTTAGACTGCTACTCATATTAAATTAGTAGAAAAAAAAACTTCATAAACGGCTTTAACTCCAACTTATACTTTATTTTCTAAACTTTTGAAAACATTTCCTCACTCACCCAGTCTCTCAAAAGCAAAAAACGAACACACTTGTGACAAGTACTCATTTATCCTTCAACTTGAAYCCGAGTAGTTACGCTTGTGCAATTAACACTAACTAGAATTAACTCAGTCTGAACATAACAATATGGGGGACATAAATACTTTTTACTTTGATAATGCACTCAAAGGACTATTTTCTACTTTTTTACCTTTTCTTTCTCTTTTTTTTATTTTTTATTTTTTTTTTATTTTTTATTTTTGCAATAAATGGCCCGCCGCTTGGCGAATGCTCATATTTCACTGATGACCTCTTCACTAATTTCGTAAGTGTCTTGTAATTAAAATAAAGTTCATTTAGTGATAGGATAGCTATTTTACATTCACACACACACATACATACAAATATATATTTTTAACAAACAGCTCGCAATTCACGAAATATGCTTGTGGATTTAAGTGAGAGCTTTTCTCAAGCTTGTCAAATGAATATAGAAAACAAGAAAATAAAAAAAGACAGTGATARATATAAAAATAAAAGAACTTAACTACTAATTGCTTTGTTGTCTGTTGTTTACTACTGTCGAGCTTAACTGCTGRACAGCTGCTAATCCGCACAGCGCCTCAAAAGGACAAGAGCAGCATCTTAAAGAGGGCAATGAGCGCCGAGTGAAGTTATGCGCGCACAATAAAAATAAAGCGCGCTGAGGACTTTATTTACTTCGCTGCATAGTTTATTGTTTTTTTTTCTTTTTGTTTTTTGAAATTTTGTTTTTATTTTGTTTTTTTTTTTGTTTTTGTTTTTTATTCCTTTTGTTTACCGCTTTTCCTAAGCCATMAAAAGCTACATAATCCGCCATAAGCCGCCATCATCGTCAGTTCACCTTCCTCTTTCGCTCCTTCAATTTGCCGCTTGCCA